TCAAAAAAGTATAAGAAAGTAGTAAACTCTCACCAAAAGGTGATGGAGTCAAGATCTTGACTCGGTCGATATGTACAAGTCAGGGAGGCAAAAGAGCCTCAGGGAGGTTAAGGTAAGGGAAATAAGATAATTTCGAGACGTAAATATCTTTGTTTTTGGGTTTTGGGCGACGTGTTTCCTCGAGGGTTCTCAATTCTCGAACCCATTTTGGATGAGTTAATGGTTTGGCAAGTCCAAAAGGAGCCGTGGGAAAAGTTGGAAGGCGATTTGGACAATACATTTCAAAAGGGGTTCTACCTAAAGGATTGATTATTTTGTGGTTCGATCGATTAATGTCCATTTTATTGGATAAGGAGATAACAAGCATCATAATAGGTCGATTCTAATTTCAGTGGGGTGTAACATATTTGATAAAAGTTCTCGAATCGAGATATTTGAAGACAAGTGGAAGTGTGTACCTTTCTTCGATTTTGACTTGTCCTGCAACACAAGAGAAGGTTGAGTAGTCAGTTTCTGGCGAACTTCATCAAAAGTAGCATAACTACTCGAGAACCAACCGGCCCACCATTGAGAAAAACCCACAGTAGATAAATAATTCAAATCGAAAGCATAGGGGTAAAAGTGCATCGGGGTTTTCGGTAAAAGCTCGACAAGCTCCCGACTAAGTGTGGATTCAGTTAACTTGGACTTTGGGGAGGTATCGAGAGAAAAGAAAGGCAAAGATTGACTCAACCCAAATTGTCTCGAGAAAAGTCTGGGGGTAATAGGTGACAAGCTTAAAATCCTTCGATTGAAAACCCGATACCAAAACATCATGGGTCAAATAGTTACTCCATACACCTATCAGCTTCGATTGCAACCCAGGAGTCGAGGCAGAAATTTCGATTTAAACCAAATCGCCCCCTAAGTTGGCCACTTGTTCTTCCAAGATTTACAGTAAATGGGGCCAAAGTTGAGTCAAAAGTGAATCTGGTTAACAAAAAATGAAGGTATTTACAGTAGGTAGTTTCATCAGACTTATGACGAGGGTGACGAGAGGATAATCGGGCCCCTTCTATATTTACACTCGGAGGGACGGAAGAGATTCGAGGAAGGACGCTCTCAAAAATTGAAGTAAGCCACAACTGTACAAACCAAACAGGGCCTGAAAAATTCCCCGACGCTTTAGGTGTGTTCAAAATTTCGACAGCCTCGTCGAAAGTAGCATACACATGAGCTAGTAGTAGCTTAGCCAAACATATCGTAGGCTGACCTATGTGCAGGACATATGCAAGATCAAACAAATGGGGGGAGATTTGGATGGATCGGGGCAAAATACATGAGTGCATAGCCAATACACCAAAAATGCTACATGCTCTTCATCGATAATGACTATCGAAGGGTCATCAACAAAATGTTTCTCGATGAAATGTCCGTAAGCCTTCGATTCCCAATCAATTTTGGACCGCAAAGAGCTACTCGAAGGATATGCACCTTTAATATACTTCTCCCCTATGGGCTTCAACCCAGTAATAGCCGCAATCTCGAAAAGGGTAGGCGACAGAGGACCACAAGGCAACTCCAAAGCATGTAGGTCCTTGTTCCATAAATGCACCGCAGACAAAAACATCGCCATGTCCAAAAATGATAGATCGCATCGAGACAGATGCAAAAAGTCGAAAATTCCTATATCCCTCCAATGGTTCCCAAACTTGGCTTGTACCCTATCGAACCACCTAATAAATTGAGGCTTTTTGGAAGGAGGGCCCGTTCTATACACTTTAGAAGTAAGATTCAGAAAATCAACCCTAACTTCAGGTTGATGAACCAAAGCCGGACTAGTTGAGAGGTTAAGAGGAGTAAAAATGTCATCGATAGGACGGAGAGGACCCCCAAAAGCAAAATTTACCCCTTCAACAGTATAAGGAATAAGTACCTGCGTCTCAGCAATCTTGCGGGAAGCCTCCTCCATCAGAGGAACTGGAGCGAACCTCTGGTTGTTGATCTCCAGCAGGTTAGATGGCAGTGAAGAAAGGGGTGGAGCAGAAAAGTCAGAAGATTTTGATGAGCTGGCCATTGTAGTGAATTTAGGAAAACAGAAAGAGTTAACGGATGAGGTAATAGGAACGAAGGCAGGAGCTCAAGGAAGAAGATGAAATTGCACAGAAGGTAATGGTTCGCGTAAAAACCAGAGTGAAGACTAAGGGAGAGGTTAAGGGTAAATCGTATAGGGAACTCGGAACGATGGAGGTGAAAGGTAATAAATGCAGCGCATCGTGAAGGCAAGCAGATCGACGAGACAACGACATAAAGCAAAAAGAAACCCACAACCCTTTTAAACCCTAGAACCCCAGAAACCCTAAACCCTAAATCCTGTGGGCTTTCAAACACTAAGGCGGGAATATTGAAAGAATATAAAACAGAAATCATTTATATTCTTCCAATGGGGCATTTTGTTAGTAGCAAATCGAGAAAAGCGATCGAAATCGAAGGGAAGAAATATGACTCGATAAGATAAACAAAAGTTCATTCGATGTCTAATTAGAAATACGTAGCATATAGCATCGAGAAACACAATCGAGAATCGAATGAATTGTAATCAAATGACCGTTGTCGAATAAAAACTAAGTCATATAAGATCAGGATTAAAAAGGAATCGTGAGCAATTCGAAGTTCTCGAAAAATATAGAATCGAGAATAAAGAAAGCCAATGGGGACATCGAGAGTTTGGCCAAATCGTGAAGGGAAGTAAGTCGAATGCACGTATAGAGAGCAGTTTTGAAATCATGGGTAAAAGTCGGAGATCGTGAGAACGTGGGAAACTAGAAGATAAACTGCCATACGCACGTAGAACGTGGTAGCAGTCGTATTAACTGCTCTTAGAAGGCTTGAAGGATGCCCTATAAATAGAGCAAAGAAGGAAGGAACAGGAGAGCAAAAATTGGCAGAGCACAGAACCAGTAGTGAAAAGTCTACCGGAGAAACGACGAACACCATGAAGTTTCTGGCGGTCTGGATTTCCCTGCTCACGGAGTACATTTATCGCTTTCGTATTTTCCTTGGAAATTTACTTTGATGCAACCTAAATTCAGCAGCTTTATGTTTCGTATTTTGATTCCTTGTCCATTTCAATTCAATGAAAATTTGAGTTTCGCATTTAGATTTCCTGTTATTTAACATTCTCGCAAATCTCAATTTCCTGTCATTTACTTTTCTTGCGATCTCGATTTCTTGTCAGTTATATTTGTGTTATTTTCGATTCCTCGCTATTTACAATTAATGCAAGTTTGGGGTTCTCGCATGTTACATTTCCTCGCAATTTAATATTCTCGCTTTTCTATTCGATAGTCTAAATTTTTTCGATACTTTAAATACAAAATACCAAAAATAGTATTTTCGATATCCTGGAGTTTTCGATTTTCATACATGTTTTCGATTGAAAACCAAATTGCTAGCCTAAGTAAAAAGAGCTTACGTGGTAGGATTTTGATTAGGACCAAAACACCTTTAGAATCGAGATCGATCGAAATTCCACCAGAAACAGTTTGACATCTCAAATTATCTATCTCCTAAAAAAAAAAATATACGTTATGGATGTATGAATACATATTTTGATGTTAAGACTATGCAAAATAAAATAAGAAAACTTACATTTTGTTAAATTTTTAATTTAAAACATGTTAAATATATAATTTATAAAAAAATAATTAATTTAAAAAATTGTTCTTAGATCATAAAATGAAATAGTAAAATGACATCATTCAGGGATGAAAGAAATAGTGATTAAGAGTGACGAGACAAAGGAGGATGTAAATTAAGATGAAATAAAAGTATTGTTGTGACTGTAGTCGCATTTTGGAAACAAAAATTCTTACGTGACAAAGACAAAATCTTAAAAAAATATATAAAATAAATTTCATGTCTAAAAAAATTATTTTAATTTTAAAAATGTTATTACATTTTATTTTTACGTTAGATAATTATTAATAAAAAGATTAAAATAAAAAGCACATTTTAGCCTAATGATTACGGTTACACACTTAATATACTTAATGATTTAATTAAATTAAATCATTAATAAATATTTTATATTATTATGATATATTGAATAAAACATATTACATTTAAAATTTTATATTATTAAAAATTATTTATAATTTGATGTCAGAATTTGACACTCTGAAGAAATGAATAAAGATATGTTTGTTTTTATAAATTAAAATACTCGCATATAATATTTAAAATTAAACATAATAAAAAAATATTTCGATTATTTTAAGTTCAATTACAACACAACTCCACAACTGCAAGAATTAGAAATTGTACTATTATTATAACACAACAAACATATCATAATCTTTTTTTCCTTAAAAAACAATAATTAACTTTATCTCATTAATTCACAACTTATGCATAATATTGTCTATCTTACTAATCTACAAAATTTTTATATTAATCATATTTTAATAATTATGACATAGTAACAACGTCATAATGAAAACATCACTTTAAATATCAATAAAAGAAACTAACTTACAATACAAGTTTAATCAAAATATATATTCACTGTTACCCCAAGGTTTCAGCGACATTAATAATTTCTCTCTGGCATTTTAACTATGTTCAACGTCACATGCTATCACAAAGATGAGAGTTCAATTTTGTTAGGGTTCTACCTCTAAAATTAACCTGAAAACTTGTGTGTAATCATTTCTTTTTCGAAATATAAAAAAGAGAGGGTAATCATTGAAGTAACAGTTGCATTAAGAAAAAATTTCATGATAACTTTTTTTTGACGGTTAAGGTTGCATGCTTGTGAAGAAAAACAAAAAACAAAAAAGCAGTAGCAGCCATCTTTCACCATTGGCAAACACATTATCCACGTGTTTTGTGTTTATGGGAATTATTTGGATTATTTTAATTAATATGAGGATTTAGTACTTATTGCATGTTAGAGAGATAGAAATAATTAGTTAATTAAAGAGGGGCCATTTAACTTTGGTTAATGCCCCCACGACAAGATGTGAGTGATCAAAAAACAGTGGTAGTTACGTTTGAAAAGGACATGATATGTGCCACATTCACATATAAATTCGAGGAACTGAGGTTCGTAGCAACTTCATTATTTTGTTTGTTTCCTCATCAATTATATTGTCTTTATCCTTACTCACTAATTACTATATAATTTCTAGGTAACATTTTTTCTTTTTTTTCATATTTGCTACTTCAAGTTGAAGGTGACATTCATACACTTCAACATATAGCTTCTAAAGTAGCACTATAATATTGTAATAAATAAATTAAATAAATAGCACTATTATTACAGCGTGTGCTTGATACATATTATATATATATATATATATATATATATATATATATATATATATATGATAAAAATAATATTACCTTTTTATTGGATGATTTTTTTTATTCTTTAAATTACTTATTATGTTTTTTTTTATTTTATATTAAAATATTCGAATCAAACATAAAATTTAATTATGATTTAATTTGTTTCGATTTTAATTTTTTTAAAATTGAACAAATAAAATTAATATTTTATGGTTTGATTATATATATTTTTTATAAATTTTATCATAAAACTACAGCATATATTATAATAAATTAATTATTATATATATATATATATATCATACATAATTAATTTAATATTTGTAAGTTTAATTTTATTTTTACATACCCTCACGTTCAATTTAAATAATAATAATAATAATAATAATAGATAGATAAAAATTAATAAATATCATTTTATGTATTAATTTTAGTAATATATATTATAATTTAAGTTAATTTAATTTTAATTAGTCCAACTCTCACATAGAAAACCAAATTAAAATTAGAATCTTTCAATAGAAAAATTTCGATTTTTGATAATTTTTTATTTTTTTATCAATTATTAATTTATTTATAAACTAGTTCGATTTTAATACCTATCGCCTACTATACTATTACTTTTTATATTCTCATTTTCAATCAAAATTATTAATTATATTCCGACATCAAGTTAGATAATATTATTTTCTTATGTGATGTTTTTTTTTTAAGAAAACTCTGAACAAATTAAAGAAGGAAAATGTTTATAAATAACTTTTGATTTTATTTTGAAGTGATATTAATTTTTTGGAAATAAATTGTTAATAAGTAAAATTATCTTAAATTAACACTGATGCTATATGAATTTTTATTCTTTAGATAAATTCTAAATTTAAATTAAAAAATTTATATATTTAAAGAACTAAATTAATCCTTTTACATAACATTTAATTTTCCTAGAAATTGGGATAATGAACACAGCATCCATATGCAGGGAAGAAAAACAAAACATAGAAAGTTGAAATTGAAACAAGACCTATTTGGTCTATTTTCTAATGGTGCCCAAAGAATAGTCATTATTACTGGTACTATAACTTGGAAAAATTGTATGACATGTTTGAATAAAGTTATTCATGACTAATTTATATTTTTAATCCGTTGATTCACAGTTTAAAAAAATAATATTTAATAGTATTTATCATCTTTTTAATAAATAAAGTAAAAAAATTATTATTTAATTAATATATTTTCATAAAATAATTTTTTTAAACTAGCTTAAATGTTATAAATGATAACTATTTTATATGTTGATAAATGTAATATCATTTAAAAGTGATGTAAGTTTATATATATTTTTATTTATTAATTTATTGAGATACCCTTTTAAAAAAATCATAATAAATAAAAGTATCGAAACACCTATTAAAAGACAAAACAAAACAGTAAAAAATAAAAGAAAAATTACTTAAATATTCTTATTTTTAGATAAAGTTAGTGATTCCTACTAGATAACCAATAAACAGATAATAAAAAGATTAAGAGAGGCTACATTTTCACAACAAATTTTACGGATTATTATTAAAAAATATATCACAAGTAGATAGTCTACCGTTGTGAATTTTATCTTACTTAACACCAATTAAGTAAATTTATTATTTAACAAAATACATTAATATTCACCACATTATTTAAGAGATCAGTAAATCAGTGACTTTTTTTACTAATATAATATTATTATAATATATATATATATATATATATATATATAATAGAACCTCTAATCAATTTATTTACTCACTTATAGCTTTTTTCTATTGAAAACGGTAAACCAAATTCCAACTTTAAATTTACACTTTTTTAAAATAAAAAATTAAATAAAATATATAATTAAAAATAAAAAATTATATAAAAATAATAAAAATAATATTAAAAATAAAATTTTAATTTTAAAATTTAAATAATATTTATATATAAAATAATAAAAATAATATATTATTTAAATATATATTAAATTATTTAAATATATTTAAATAATTATTAAAAATATTAAATAATAATTTTTTATATATTTTTTTTATTTTTGAATAGGAAATTTAAAATTTATATTTTTTTTATTATATGAATTATTTAAGTTATAATTTTAGAAAAAAATAGAATAAATAAAAATTTAATTTAGGTAATATATTAAAAATATTAAATATTATATTATAAAAATTTATGTAATAGTTTTTATTTGATAAATTATAAATATTATATTAAAAAATTCATGCTAAAATTATTATTTTTTAAATAATAAAGTAAAAATATTATTTAATTAGTTAAAAATTATTATTATTAATATAAAATAAACTTAATAAAGTTTGAGAAGATATCCTCCGAGGTTGTTGCAAAAGAATGTCTTCTGTCAATTGTGTTTGAGCTCCAACCCGTGGTTGTTGGCGGGCTCTTGGATCTTTGAGCTATTGTGGTACAAATAGAAAAATAATGGAATTGACATTATACCATTGCATGTATTCTATTGTGTGAAATAATGTGTCTTGCATTAAATGACCCACTAATGTCAATTGACATCTATTATTCCATATATCAATCCAATGAGCATGTTTTGTTATCCAATTTTCGTCATGTCTTCCCCTCATATCAATTGTGTAGGTCATCCAAATTATTTGGTTGAGAAGGGATTTCTTGGAATAAACCAAATTGTAACTTCACTCTATCAGATTGGTGTCATTCAACAATTGCAAAACAAATGATGGTTGTACATGTAGTCCACAATTGGGCATCCTTAAATGCTTGAACTAGGATTGATCTTTGCAAGTCCTTATATGGGGTCCATAAAAACTTCCACCAAAAAATAATTTTTGTTATTAAAATAAACCAAAATTAAAAAAAATGAATTAATAATTTTAAAAGAATATTTACCTGATCAGTTTGAATGTGATCAAACATAGTTCTATACCCGACAACATCATTGTGAGGTACATTTCTAAAGTTTAACACTCTACCTCCGCTCCATTTGCAGACCAATGGGTATGTTGGTGGAAGCCTAGAAATTGGAGCAATATATGGCATGCGATGCCATGCCCAATATTGTAAAAGTGATGCACAACCACCATTATTTTGGCCTTTACATTCGTTGCTCTACACATTTCCCTGTACAACACAGCTAAACAAGCAGATCCCCAACTATAATGCCTAGAACTTTTAAAATTAGTTAATAAAGTTAAATACATAAGATGAACCTTATTTCATGTTTTGTCAGACATCAAAATACCTCCAATTAAACCTAATACATATGCTCTACAATGGGCATGAAGTTGTTCTTCTGATGGTTCTTCTGGGATTTGTAAAATATTTTCCCTAAGCCACTTTAGCTTGATCATAGAGCCAATTAGTGACTCTCCTTTGACTGGCACAATGCCCAAATATGTTTCACACATTTTGTCCCAATCTAACATTGTTGGGCCAATGACTGGTAATCCATCAACTCTTAACCCGAGTTGAAGTGCAACATCCTCTAGCGTTATGGTGCATTCTCCTATTGGAAAATGGATTGAGTGAGTTTCAGGTCTCCACCTTTCTAGCAGAGCTGTTACCAAAGCATGATCAACCTTTAGATGTCTTAGCTTTGCTACTGGAGCAAAGCCTACTTGTTCTAGTAATGGAACAATTAGAGGGTGAGGTTCTGGCATTGAGTGACAATATGATGATATAATATTTTCAGTCTCCTGCAATTATTAACGAATTAGACACAACATTTGTTCATATACAACAAATAAAGTATAAATAAATAAGGATGATATGTTAAACTTATTGTCCTACCAATAAATTTATCTTTGAGTTCATTTTGCTTTGATAATAACATTTTGGCTGACTGATATTGCAAGTATGTGATAGATTAAACAAAGTCATACCATCTATATTTATAGAAACCTTAACATTGGTTGGGAGAAGAGAAAGTGTGGTAGTTGTGAAGTGTGTCTGACAAGTCACACTCACTCGATTTACGTGCTCCTCAGAAGGTATATTTTTTGTTGGGAGAAGTGAAAGTGTGAGAATGATGAGGTGTGTCTGATAAGTCAAACTCACTCGATTTACGTGGTCCTCAGAAGACATCTTTTTTTGTTGGGAGAAGTGAAAGTGTGAGAGTTGTGAAGTGTGTTTGACAAGTCACACTCAATCGATTTACGTGCTCCTCAGAAGGTATCTTTTTTTGTTGGGAGAAGTAAAAGTGTGAGAGTGGTGAAGTGTGCCTAATAAGTCACACTCACTCAATTTACGTGCTTCTCAAAAAACATCTTTTTTTATTAGGAGAAGTGAAAGTGTGAGAGTGGTAAAGTGTGCATGACAAATCACACTCACTCAATTTACGTGCTCCTCATAAGACATCTTTTTTTATTGGGAGAAGTGAAAATGTGAGAGTGGTGAAGTGTGTCTGACAAGTCACATCTATTCGATTTACGTGCTCCTCAGAAGACATCTTTTTTTGTTGGGAGAAGTGAAAGTGTGAGAGTGGTGAAATGTGCTTGACAAGTCACACTCACTCGATTTACGTGCTACCCAGAAGACATCTTTTTTTGTTGGGAGAAGTGAAAGTGTGAGAGTTGTGAAGTGTGTCTGACAAGTCACACTCAATCGATTTACGTGCTCCTCAGAAGGCATCTTTGTTGCTTCCGTACTTACCATTATAAATAGAAGGTATAACTTTGTTCATTTTACATGTTACCATTATCACTTACATTCTCCTTCTTTGATTGTTTGTTGTTTTCATTCTATAAAAATCTTTCTACCTTTATTATTTTCATAGAAATGGGTTCTATATATGCCATTGTTTACTATGATGGTGCCATGAACAACTGCCCTATTGAAGGAGTCACTTTCAACTCAACATCCGCCAAATTGGTGTCTTTAAGAAGAGGTCTATTTGTACAAACGATGAAGAAAATCATCCACAAAAAATGTGAGAAAGATGCAAATGAAAGGGTGACAATTATACATTGTCCGTACCCAATACGACTTGGGCCTGGAGTTAACAACTACACAGCTGTGGAGTTGAAGGATGATGAAGACATCGAAGCAATCTTCAACATACATGATTCAAATGTACTTCAATCAGGTATTGAACTATATGTTACATTCGATGCATGTACTTAGTCATTTATCCAAGCCTCACAACCACAACTTTCACCCTCACATTACCCTGTCCATGACGTGATAAACCCACATATAACAACAGATGATTTCAATTGGGAAAATGACACTCAATCGTTCACCCAACTTTTAAGTTATCCTTTAACAAACCAAAATGAATTAGAATCACAACAAAGCCAACAAGCACCCATAGAAGAAAATGCTATTGTAGGTATTCTAACAGAAGTTTTTTATCCTTTTAGTGAAGATGAAGACGAAATCCTTACCCAAATTCCAGATGATGAAGAAGATGTACAAGTGCATCCACCTTCAAATATTCCTCCATCACAACCAAACATACCATACAACCCACCACAATATTTTCTCAACTTCCCAACTCATATACAAATAGATGATTTAGAGTTTGGCCATGTCCTAGATCGGGAAACAATAGTTTATCCACCCGGAACACTATTCGTTGGTCAACGTTTCGCCACAAAGAACAAGTGCAAGATGCTATCAACCGATTTCATATAGTAAACCATTGTACTTACAAGGTTCAACTATCAAGCCCGGTTAGGTTTGTCATGCAATGTGTTCATACCGATTGTGAATGGAGATGTCGAGCAATATTGTGCACCAAAGACCAATATTGGGAAATAATGAAGTTGGAAGGGCAACACACATGTCTTGCACCTCTCATTTCACAGGATCATAGCAGGTTGGGATCACGAATGATTTCCCAAACAATCTATGACATTGTTGAGACTGATTCTTCAACACTTATCTCCACCATCATAGGACACATGAAATCAACTGTGGGTTATACCATCAAACCGAAAGGGATGGTTGGCCAAACAAATTGTCATTGAAAACATTTATGGCAACTGGGAGGATTCATATCATAAGTTACCTACTCTATTGCAAGTAATGGAATTGTATGTTCCGGGCTTTATTTGGAAGATGAGTACACAACCTGCGTACCAAGGTGAGGTGGTGAACAACAATTATGTTTTCTTTAAGAGGTTATTTTGGTCATTCAAACCATGTATTGATGGTTTTCGTCACTGCAAACCTATTATTCAAGTTGATGAAACATTTTTATATGGAAAGTATAAAGGGACATTATTGGTGGCAGTTGCACAAGACGAACACAACAACATAGTTCCAATTGCCTTTGCTATTGTAGAAGGTGAAACTAGTGATGCATGGTTCTTCTTTTTAAGAAACCTACGGAGGTACGTAACACCACAAGAGGGGTTGTGTCTCATTTCAGATCGTCACAAGTCCATAAGAAGTGCATATTGCAGACATCGAAGTGGTTGGACAGAAAACAATTCTATGCATGTGTATTGCATTAGACATATTGCACAAAATTTATGCGACATTTCAAAATAACTGTTCTCAAGAAGGATGTGGTCAATATGGGTAACTCTTTATTTTTATGAAGTTTTTAATATCATTAATGCTTAATTTTCTTATTAATATTTTTTTATATTTTGTTAGTTACTTATATTAATTTCACTTTAAAATTTTTTGTAGCATATGGCATGACTGAGCCTAGATTCTTTTACTATTACAACATAGTAAGAGATAATAACTTGGAAGCAGCACAATGGTTGGATGAGATTCCAAGAGATAAATGGACACTTGCATGGGACATCAGAAGAAGGTGGGGACACATGACAACAAAATTAGCAGAATCAATTAATTCAGTCCTAAAGAAAACAAGAAACCTCCCAATATGCTCCATGGTGATGGCAACATACACCCGTTGCAACAAATTCTTTACAGAAAGAGGTAGGGAGGTAGATGCCATGATTACAGCTGGTCATATATACTCCGAAGTTGCTTCAAAAATATTGCAAGATGCACACTCAAAGGCGAACACCCACAGAGTTATCAATTTCGATAGATCAAGCACAAGATTTGTAGTGGAGGAGACTAAACATCCACGAGAAGGTCGACCAGCAGGGAGATTTACAGTTAGATTAGATGAGTTATGGTGTGATTGTGGAAAGTTTCAAAAAGTTCATATGCCATGCTCGCATGTACTTGAAGCATGCAAACACGCACACCATGACTTTAACATGTACATCGCTCCAGTGTATACATTACAATAAGTTTCTAAGGTGTATGAACAACAATTTGGAGAACTCAGACATGAAGACTATTGGCCAACTTATACAGGCCCAACTTTGTGCCCAAACCCAGAATTGAAAAGAACTTCAAAGGGTCGACCTAAGTCAAGCCGAATAAGAACAGAGATGGACATTATTGAACAACATGGTCGTGTAAAAAATTGTTCATATTGTCATACCTCTGGTC